AAAGCTGGAAAAACTGAATAGTAAATGCTTTAAAAAATATAAAATGGCAGCAAAAAAGGACCATAGGTGTCAGGAAAAAAACCCCTTAGTATCAAAATTTTCAAGCTGATCATGTAATTTTGAGGATCTGACTCAGATTTTGTTCTGTTTGTGGGGTGGATGATGTCTGCATTTCACAGACACACTCCAAGAACTGACTAACACTTATAATTGGGCTTAGGGGTGAAAAATAAATAGGAACTAAGGGGTTCATTGGTAGAAATCAGCAAAACTCAACTTTGCTTAATTTCCAAAGTCAAAAACAGATAATGAAAGATTCAATTTTCATAGGTAAACTTCAAACGCTGCAGAAGCAAAATCTTGGCCCAAGCTGAGTTGGTGCCAAAATTCCCATTGGCTTGACTGAGACCAAATTCTGATCAATTCCTGTACTGAAGAGTGAAACAGAGAGATACTCATACAAACAGAATAAATAAATTTGCAAACTTGCTTCTTTTGTCAAATTATCTGCTGCGACAATTTCTCTACAATTTCTTAATTTCTTAAATTAAGTCAATGAATTTCTTAAGTTGTTAAATTTACCACTATGCAAAAAAACTGTTCCCTGGGTGTAAAACCTGAGACAACATAACTGAGACTTGTGTGCTCCAAGTGAAATGGAGCATACCCTGCCCTTCACCTCTCGGTGTTTATTACATTGTCAAACTAACGATTTCTAATTTCATAAAAAAACAATAATAATTGCCCCCAACATAAAGCTACAGCGATTTTTTTTTTCCTTTCACCCTCTTCTATTTCTCAAGATACTGGAAAGATATATTAAGATAATATAGCATGCAAATTAAATTCTACAAAAGCCCAGCCAAAAGGCTGCTTTAAAAAGCAGCGGTATGCAAAGGCGAGGACAGCTCTGTCCTCTCAGCCTCCCCCAGTCTCACCCTGAGAATTTAAACCAAACCCAAATTCTTTTCTTGGCCGTGACTTAAGGGGAAGATTTTTTTTTTTTCTTTTGCCAAGCAAAAACAAAAGTTTCCATCCCAGTAATTTCATTATTTCTTCTCTCCAAACACACGCAGGTTAATGATCAGAAAAGAAATTTCATTTAATCACATAAAAAAAAAGTCAAGTGATGGGTTTCAATTTCAAGATACTGATTTGGACATCCTAAATTTGTTTTCAGTCCAGTATCCAACTTCCAGCTCAATGCAACACACAACATTTACGTCTTTAAAAAAAATTGTATTTTTAGTATTGCCAAAACACACATGCACTTTTACTTTCTTGGGAGAAAAATGTGTCTCTTGATTTGTTTCCAATCTGTGTGCTCTTGCCAACAACTAAAATGCTTGAAGAACCAAAATGAATAATCACTAAGAGCATCGGCAATTAAAGCTGCAAATTTTAATCAATACATCTATTAATACAGATATATTTATCTTGGCCAGGAAATATGTGCACATTTTCAAAACCCTAAGCATACCTGGTCTGTTAAATTATTTGTTTCACAGACTCAAGGAAATCCAATGTCTATGGCAAATATATTATCAAACAGCCTTTAGTCTTTTTTTCACTTCCAGTAATTTTTGTGGGACTGATATTTTTTATGTTCTTTCCCCAGCTGCTGGTTATTAAATCCATTTCTTAACTTTCAATTTTTCTTTTGTTTGTGTCATCAGGCTGCGAAACCGGAGGTCACTGCCAAATCTAAACCACGGCAGTGTGCGATAGGCTCAAAATGTGAGTGAGTCATCGTGTATTTGGAGATTTGGGGTTTTTCAGCTATCAGCAGAGCACATCTCCAGTCCTGCATCCAAGTTCCTACAAACTGAGTATCTCACGATTTGCTAAAAGCAGACCTTCAGGTAGTGTTGCCAAGATCAAGAGAACCCCAAAAGGATTGCAGGAGCCCACTGCCATTTAAACACTACTGAAGACACCATGTCCCAGTGCGGCCACAGAATGCTGGGATATATTTAAGTACCTTGGCTACTTAGTCAGGGAATAAAGATGGAACAGAGGAAATTATCCATGAGGTGATAACAGATTAGCTACACAGTATATACCAGATTAATCTTCTGTGTCTGTTTGTGGTGGTGGGGTTTAGAGGGTGCATGCCCAGCCCTAGTACCAGCCTCCCCTCCTGGGGCAGGCAGGACCACGGAGCATTTCAGTGGGAGAAGCAGCAGCCCAGGCAGACAGCATCCCTCCCTGTTCCAGGCAAAGCTCCCCAGCACTCGTGCTGGGCACTGCCCACCAGTGCCCTTGCCAAGCACAGCAGGGATGAGCGATGCCCATGGTGTTCTTGTTATACATGAAGCCTGTTTGTCACAAAAAAACCCAGGTGACTGCTAACTGCTGTGGCTATTGAATGAGACATCTATGTAACTGAAGCCCAAGGATAACTTGTACATTATTTAAAAAAACTTATGAAAAACGGGCACGTTTCCCCCACCCTTGATATTTATTCTATGTACTGTCAGCAATAGGTATCACCTCGTCAGCATGGTCCCATCTGACTTCAGGGGGTGTGGGTGCTTGTGTGGGTGCAGTTTTACTCAAAAATTCTACCCCCAGCAGCACCATTTCCTTTCAGCAACAGATTTTCATTACAGGGATGCGCTTGGGGGTGTTACATCCAAGAGGATTTCCAGTACATTTCAGACCGCAAAAGCACCAGGAGTGAGAAGGGGGAAAAAAAAAAAAAAGAGACTGGGCAGTCATTTGAATCAGTGAGTGACAGGCTGGGCCAGCTCTCTGTATACATTAATAAATTAGAATTTTAATTGTGTCTCTGACTGCAGGAGCTGCTCCAGTACTTTAATACGTACCAACAATTGGCTATGTTATGGAATCCACGATGTGGCCTTCACTGTTGACCTCTGCAACACAATTCCCAGTCTGACTACGGAAACTGTTTGGTTTGATCCTTTCAACTTATTTGAATCCTGACAAATAAGCTCACAGCTGAAAGGTCAACACAGTCATATTTCATCCTCTGGAGCTATTCTTAAGACATCTGCACAACAAAGCACTTCTTTTAGTACCTGACACTGGACCTAGCCAGCACAATCTCTCATTAAAAATGTCCCCAGTGGAAGAGTCTATTAAAAGGCATATGGATCAGCTATGGATTTACCAAATAAAATATTTTTGAAAGCATTAATGTAACGCTTTGGATTATGGCTCTCGACGCTGCCAATAAAACGTATATTTGCCCAATGACAAAATGCTTCATACTTTCCAAAAGAATAATAGCCCGGCTGTAAAGCACGAGGTGTTGTCCAGCAGCCGGAGCACAGGGGTGGGAGCCAGGAACTCATGAATCTTAATCCTACCTCTAAACCCAATTCCCTCTGTGATCCTAAGTGAGTTGCTTAACCCGCTTCCCTCAGTTTCCCAGTCCAGAACCGGGATAATGCTACTTACTTATCAGACTTTCCTTCTGGGGATGTTTTGGAGATTAGTATTTGCAAAATGCTTTGAAGATGAAATCACTACACCAAAGCTCGACGTTGTCCACTCTGGGCCAAGGGCTGCAGCTAACAGCTATTCCTCACTCAGGCAGAACTCCCCTTGAAGTCCCCATCAGCTTTATTTGGGTAAGGAGCACAGATTCGGGCCCTCTCACTTTACTGTCAAGGCCTCTAGCGATGCTGGCTTTACCTTCCATATTCTACTACATATTTAAAGAGCCTAGCATCCGCATTTTTGTCGGAAAATAATCTGAAGCACATATAAAAGGCAAGAGAAGCAGCAATGCTGTCAGGGAGCTCATGGTGATAGTATATCAAACTAAAAAAAAAAAAAAAAAAAGAAAGAGCAAAACAGACATGAGTTTGACAACGTGCTATGACAACAAGAGGAAAAAAAAATACAGAAAGAATTTGGGGCTACAGAGGCTGAAGCATCAGATATAGAAGAGTGAGATAAGATAAATGTCCCAGCTAAAGGGCTTTGTGCAACTGCAGCTGAACTGCTGCATTCAGGACCTTATTATCAAAAATCCACTGACATGCTGCAATTGCAGAGAGCAGTAGTAAAAGCAACAACCAGCTGCAAACCAGCAAAGTGGTCAAGGGTCTGGAAGTGCCAGTTTATGAAATACATAAAGAACTAGATACATATAATTTGCCAAAACTGGCAAGTATATGTTAGTATCTCAGATGTTTGAGGAGTGTGAACACGAGGCAAGGCAAGGGACTGACTCAGTATTTATACAAGCAGTATTACTTGGAGCAAGAGGATGGAATTAAAGTGGAAAGTTCCTGAGCATGTGCTTTGTTATGGAAAACTATCCAAAGGAAAATAATAGCAGTCCCACCATCACTTGGGATTTCTAACACTAGAATAGCAAAAAAAAAAAAAAACCAAAACCAAAAAACTGTGATACATGACCTAATAGGTCTTTCTTGTCTTTAACTCCCCGTGATTTATCCCACAAGACTAGCAGAATGTACTCCAAAGCCCCATATGTGTGCATACATCTTCTGTTTGGGAATGCTGTATTGGTTTTAGCTCTCTGAATTCATAACAGCACAAAGCCCTCTAATATTTAGATTTTATTTCTGAAGATGTCCATAAATCAGCAGACAATAAAAGGGGAAAAAACACGCTGATGATACGATATCCTAGTATTTCCCAATATCCTTGACACAGCAAATCAACGGTTTGAGTGAACACAGACTACAAATGGAACAGCAATCAAACAGAAATGTTAATGCAAATCTCCTATGCACACTGACACAGTAACAAAAGCTATTCCATTTTGTCATGATCCAGCCCTACCAGACGCTAATAAAAGTACATGCTCACGATTTGTAAATACGCCGTAGGTGTGACTTTCAAGAGCACCCAGCATCTATCCTGCTGCCACTTACACCAGCCACTCTGTGAACACAGGGAGGAAGCTCCTGAAGGTTCCACCCCAGTGTTTGCATGAAAGACACATTTATTCAGCTTTTACAAGCCCCAGACCCCCATGGCTCACGGGCTCCCCTTACCTGAAGGGCTGGCTGTTTGTCATTCCTCTTCGGAGACTTTATTCCACTAACTTGTTGCTGCTGCTGCTGTTGCTGCTGCTGCTGCTGTTGCAGGAGAAGCTGTCGTGCCACCTGGAGAGCCTGTAGGGAGGAAGAGGTTGGAGAATTGAGTTCACAGCCAAGAGGGAATGGGGAGCTACACAAACAGCATAGGGGCAAGGCAGTTCCTGCTTATGGGGTACTTCTCCACTCCTGATGCATGTCCACTGAAAAAAGCAGTGGCTTCCACTAAAATAACACCTTGCATGCCATGGGGTGATATCCCACCACTGATTTTCCATTTCGACAAAGCAGAAAACCAGCAGCAGCTGATGCTTGCCTCCTGGGTGTGAGCCTCAAGTAACTGCAGGAATCCTGTGGTCAGCTCCACAGAGCTAATTCTGTCCCCCTGGAGCAGCTCACAGCCCTCCTCACTAATGGGCAGCCTCCTGTGCTTTCAGCTTTCAGATGCCTCCTCTCCAGCAGATCAGGTTTGGTTTACAGAAGAGGGCAGTCATATATCACTGTCTGCTCCCCTGAGCACCAGAGAACATCAGGAAAGACTCTGGATGGCCATGGTGGGAAAAAGAGGAGAGGCAGCAGCAGACAGAGCCACACTGGAGGCTGAGAAAGCTGCAAGGAGCTGGAGAGAATGCAAAGAGAAGCAGGGACAGCATTTCACCTCACCAAAATCCAGGACTTGGACTTTGATGATCCTCGTGGGTCCCTTCCAGCTTAGGATATTCTATGAAAATCATTGTCAGCTCATGATGGACTCACTGGGAGGGGGCACAGCAGTAAAGGGACAGTATGACAGAGGAGGGGCAAGGGACGTGACCCTGAAAGCATGAGCAGGCAGGATGTGGAGGGATTATTGCAAAATGTCATGCGAAGCAGAGTCCCTCAACACTGGAGCCTGCTGCTCTGCAAGGCCCGATTTCTCCATCAGGCGGGGAAAAGAAAGCAAGAGAAGAGAGAAGTGGAAAAGATGAGGAGCAAGTCCCTGCCCTGGCTCCCTCCTGGCTCCCCAGCCAGGGGACAGCAAGGATGATCCCTGCAAGACAGACTGTGGCACAGCTGAGGCTCTGCTGGCGAGACCCCAGCCTGCTGCTCCCGGAGGATTCACCAGCACCGGACCCAGGCCTCCTTGGTCTCCTTGGAGACGTTCAGTACATGTGTAGGTGGAAAAGTGGGAAGGCTGAAGACTTCATTAATGTAAAACAAGAAAAATAGTCCCTTTGCAAGATGCCTACATGGAAGAAGAGAAAAAGCCTTCCCCACTCCTACTGTGTATGTTCTCTGAGTGATTTAATTAATACCTCTTTAATTAAGAAGTCAGATATGCTTCAGGTTTCACTTGCTCCTTCAAGTTGCAGAGTATTTAATCTCAGCACAGAACTGCTGGGAAAGGTTTGATATCAAGGTCTGCAAACTCGACTCCCCCCCTCCAGTAAAACCTTGTTATTTTATGGCCTAGGCCCATCTTTTTAGTTTTGGAGAGACACTGGTCAGCCCAGTGGACTGAAGAACCACCACTGCTGACCACGGCAAGTGGGCAGGAGAGACCTTATAATGCTCTGGCAACAAGCCCACCTTTCCTATTTAGTAACAAGTCTACACCAGATCAGAAGCACTCTCTAAGGGTGGATGTGATTTCCAGCAGAGCTTGGTACAGCGCAGGTAAAATTAGATTTTGCACTTCAGGCTGGTCGGAGCTTGGTGCACCCATAACATCTCTGAATTGGTCCATGTCCCTGCCATGGGTGCAGGGAGCTGCTGGGCACGGATCTGGGCTCACACACACAGCCACCACCCCACAACGGTGCACCATCAAGAACCAGGAAACCCTACAGCCTACCAAAGAATTCAATGCAACAAAAGAAACCTTTATGCAGAAAGTGCTAAGGACGCTTAAATAAGGTATAAAAATACCTTATTTTTATTGAATTAACTTATTTAGCTGTTAAAGCATCTTCAAGGGTGGGCAGAAGCAGCAGAAATAAAACCTACAAGACTTAAGGGGATGGGCAACAAATACTCACTTATTTAACAGGGGTGTTGTATGGCTTATTTAATTAATGAATACTTGTAAAGCACTCTGAGTTGCTCAGACAAGAAGCTCTATACAGTACAAGCGCAACATATTATTATATATTATTAAGACTGGCTCTGCAGAAGAATAATTCCAGGTAAATGTGCAATCAAATGATCATTTTAGTTCCCAGTAATTAGATTCAATAGGCCAAAAAAAACACAGGAGCCTTTCTTTAATCATACACTAAACAATCAGAACATCCCTAACCTTTCAAGCTACAGCCTTTTTGAATAAAACATCATCAACTTATAGATATTATTCCAAAAAGAACCAGTCACCATATGTGTTGTCTCTTTGAAATACAGTTGCTATAGCAGACCCTGCATGCATTTCATGTGATATGATCATATTCTATCCGTTCTGGCAGCTGAGAGGTTGCACAATTAAACTGGCTGCCAGAAATTTTTGAAGATTCCCAGAACAAGTAGCCATACAAGAAATGCCTGCTCTCTACACTCGAGCTGGCCACGGAGCTCCGTGGAGCTTGGCAGGGTGGCCACTGCCACCATAAACCCCCACCATGACTGACCCCACACCAAGGAGGGCCTCTGGCTGTGGGGACAGGCTGGCACTGGCAGAGCTCTGCTGGAATAAAGCCAGAGCTCTGCCCCTGCTCCAGTCCAGCTGCACAGCACCCACGTCCCTCACACCCACCATTGTCAGGGTCTCCATTCCAGGTGACATCTACACCACCCCATTCCATGTCTAGCTGCCACCTGTGCTGGCACAAACCTGGACCAGAGATGGCAAGAGGGAAGGACCAGCACAGAGGGTGGAGCAGGGCAGGAAGGAAAGGATTAGGAAGAATAAAAGTGGTCTTGCATCAGGAATACAAGCAACCAGGATGGACAGGAACATCAAAGGGAAAAACAAGATAGATGCAAGTGAGATGGCAAAATGCTGACATTCCAGGGATTACAGCTTGAAGTGGCATTTCCCATTTCTCCTCTCAAGATTTTGCTTTTTCACTTACAAATAACTGACAGCAGTAAAAGCTGAGCATCAGATGAGCTTGGGTTTAAGATGTGGAAGGTTTTTTATAACTTAGATATGGTTCTTATGGAGCATCTGTATCAAGGAGCTACCATGGCCTTGGTGGTACAGTGAACCCAGGGATCCCACATCCCTCTGCCTCTCTACTTCTCCCTGCTCAGCCTTTCCTCCCTCATACCTCAGACCAAGACCTGTCCTTGCCACTCCAAGCCACATCCAAACTCCTCACACATGATAGTACATGTACAAGAAAGATGGCTGGCTTGGAATACACTGACCCTCTCACACACAAAATACTTCAAGCCCTTTCGGAGCTTGCCTTCATGGAATAGCTTTGCTGATGCCAGTTCAAGCCCGGTGGACACTTGTACAGTCCAAGCCAAGAAGCATCACACCTCTTCCCCCTTTCCCTGGTTCCAGGCAGTGCCGCTCCCGCACGGAGCTCATCGCTGGATGCCGGCGTGGGAGCCCTGCTGAGGCTGCCGGTGCTGCACAGTGCTCAGGCGAGGATAGACAGGGAAATTAATTTGAGTGAAGTCAGTCCCACAACCTTCATCAGCACGGAGATTCGCAAGCAGGCCTGTACATTAATAAAGCTTCCTGTGGGAGTAGATGTTGCCTTTGATTTGCATGTGAATTCAATGCTAGTGAGAAGTGCCAGACTGTCAGACATGGAGACCAAAGTCTCTTATCTTTCCAAAAGCTTCTGTAGCAGTTTCCCCACATTTCCTTAATCATCTGCCTTGTCCTCAACTTACTGAACAGGCAGTAGAGAGTAAAGCTGGATTCGGTTCAACTTCTGCTGCTGCCAAGTCCTGAAACAAGGGTGCCAGGACTGTTTACTGCTAGCCAACAGCTCTGCTAACGTGGCCCTCTCCTCACAAGCAGGTGCTCTGACATCTCCAAGCTCTTTTCACACATTCCTCCCCACTGTGGTAGTTACATCCTAAATCTACACCACGTGCTTGCAAGTGAACAATTGCCAGGGGCCATGAAAAGCCAGCTCATGTTTGTGCATCCAGACAACAGCGTGCTCCTTCATGGACAGGCAGGTGGAGATGCCAAGAGCCCCCGAAACCACAGAGGTGCTTCAAATATCTGGCTCTGTATTTACCAGCAGCCACATTATCTGCACTGCTCAAAGAGCCTGCAAGCTTGGACAAAGCTTCTTGGGACACCCAGACACTCCAGCAGTGAATCACAGAGCAGCAGCAACCATCCTCCTCTCTGCACCAATACACAACGGGGAAATCCTCTCACCCAGAAAAAAAAAAAAAAAGAGAAAGGAAAGTATGCCCTCAGAAAATGAATCTTTTATGGATTTTGGTCACTATACACATGGATTTGGAAGGACAACATCAAGAAAAGGCTGCCTACCAACCATCCTATGCCTAAATGCAAGATACAGTAAATGAACTACCAGGGTGTTTTCTTATCCATTAGGAAATCACCCAGACATAAGGAGATTTTCTGGTGTAAAACAGAGATCAGTAAAATTGCAACTGAAATACAGCGCTTGAGAGACATTGCACAAACTTGGAATGGTATTTAAGAGTCAACACTGGGTGACACCTAACCCAGGAAAAATGTTAACAGTACATTAACTGTGAGATGAATCAAGCCTGTTTCATTCACAGCACAAGTGGGAAGCCCCACTGAAAAGCCCTCTCCCTGTGCTTAGGGAAGTGCCAACCATTTATTATTTCCCAACCACTTAAGCACCAGGAGGGGAAAAAAAAGTACACATTTGAGATGACCAAGACAATTTTATTGCAAGACAGACAGAACGTGACTTGTTTGCCCAGCTGTTGTTTGCCCAGAACACTGGGCACTGTTATCACCCCAGTTAATGTTGTAATTCAACATTTCCATGCAAGCACCTTGACCTTTCAGTTTCACCATCCTCTTTGGGCAAGCTCTGATGAAGGGTAAAAATGCAGCCCTGCCTCTGAATTCATGTAGTAGCCAGAAACCTGATTTGGGAAGGGGGCTGGGAAAGGGAAATACATTGGAA